GAGTCTTCTCATTCTCTCTTTCTCTATTCTTTCTTCTTCTTTCTTCTTCTCCCTGTCTGTTACTGAGTGATAATTCATCACTGCTTTATTTAGYTTGATAATCTTGGACTGAACAGACCGGTGATATTCCTTGAAATCTCTGACATGTTGTAAAATCATGTTGAGGTATTCCTGGTGTTTCTGCCTGCGCTTCCTTTCCTGTTCCATTTTCTGTTGTTTTTCCAGTTTCTCAGTAATCCTAAATAGGATTAATAATGTCAAAAACAAGGAATATTAGTATAATGTTTAAGTACAGTAAATGTTTAGTGAGTTTTTCATTAACCCATGAAACAAATTGTATTAGTGCAACATAAAATAAAGTGTAGTTTGCTTAACTGTTTTTCATTGGTAAAYAAAACCACCTTAACCAGTCTTTTGAGTATCAAAGCTCATTTCTTTACATTATAGGCTTGTGCTTATCGGAGAGAAAAGGCAAGAGATAGAGAAGAAAGAATATTTGAATATCACTGACCTTGCTTCTCTGAGGGACTGCTTCTTGTTGCGTTTATATGCTTTAGAGTTTAGTGCTGTTTCTAGTGTAGTGTCTCTTCTTGTACATGCTATAACTTCACTTCTCAACTGTAAAATATCAAAAACTAATTTATCAACATCAAATTATTGTTCTACATGTACATGTAGTACAAAGACAGACTTCTGATTCTAAACAATGAATTAGAGTAACAGCCTATGCTTTCAAACACACACACACACACAAAAAAAAACAGTTTTAGAAAGAAAGAGGGATGACCGACTGAGTGTAACATTGACAAAGATTACCTGCTTCTGAACATTCAGTAGTCTCAATGCCCTGAGTTCAATCATGGCTTTGAGTCTCAAATCATCTGGTAAATTTCCAGGAAGACCTTCAAGTTCTTTGATCCTCTGCACAATTCTTGCTTGTATTCTATTCTCCCTYTCTTTCAATATCGCTACAGGATCAAGACCTGTTGGCTTCGTAACAGGAGCTAGCTGTGACTTAGACATCTGCAAGTGAGGTTGTGGTTTGCGTTGTTGCGATTGTTGTTGCTGCTGCTGTAATGCCAATGCTTGCCTCTGCTGTTCTTTGAGTTTTTGTTGCTGGTTRGCGGCTGCGATTGCRCTAGCAGCAGCTCCCTTAGCGGCCGCCATGGATGTCTGGTTGTTGCTTGTTCCTGTTGGTTTATTCATGCTGCCTTGAATCTTTTGTGCTGGAATAATGTTCACATGTAGCTAATCAGATTAATGTTTTTATTGAGGAAACTTGATGTTAAAAGTTTGCTACTTCAGGTTAAGCATATGATGCCATACATGTATCTGTTTGCAAATTCTACTTTTTTTTACTATAATTTCATTATCATTATGCTGTCCCACCACATTCATATCAGTACCATATTACTATAATCGTCCTACCTGGAGTCATTCCTGGTACGTTATATGCAGTCTGGTTGGGTGCTATACTAGCAGATGGCGTAGAAGTATTAGCTATAGAGGCCTGTGTCTGTGGGGTTGATGCTTGTGGAGTTGTCTGACTGGAATTTCCTGGTCCACTTGTCATGGAATTTCCAGGAACCATTGTCATCTTGGATGGTTGTTTACCCAACATGGCCATCTTGATATGATCTGGTAATGGTTGATTCCTGGAAATCAGTTTGTAAGCCATAATTTGTGCTCGTAGTTGGAGCAACTGCTGAGAATTAAAAGATTTTTGTCCAGGTACTGTAGCCGGAGAAGCTCTTTGACTTGGGTCTGGCATGCTTGATGGCCCTKGTACATWACTTGGGCCAGCATCACCATAATGCATGGGTGGGGCATTTGTCGGCATGTTACCCATGCTGTAAGAGTTATCCTCCATCATGGGRGGTCTCCCTTGCATGAGTGACAACAACTGTGCATAACGWGGGTCATTTTCCATCCCCTTTTCCTGCATTGCTTGCAAAGCCTAACAAATAAAATCCATCCATGTTCGTTATCATCAAACAACTAACACTAAAGCTCCTCTATTCAAAAAATACAACCATGATTACCTTCTCGAGTCTCTGGACATTTTCAGGAGTATATGGAAAACTAGGAATAGGTGGTTTCATCATCATGGACATGATTGACAGCTGTCAATTAAATACAAGCATTAGATGAATTAGCACAGCTGTCAGTTAACACATGTACAATTGTGGTTTCTAAACAGACAATAATCAGTGTTATCCGCTAAAAGCCCTTCAATAAGCATCAAATATATAAAATTGGGCTATTATTTTCACTAAATTCACAGAAGTCTTATCACAAAGCACGAAAGTCACTTTTCAACCGACGTTCTGTYCTCGCATCTACGACGATTTCAATCTAGTATCGGAGATTAAGATTAGAAGTAGTCATATGCTATTAAAAATGATATTTACAAGGATAGAAATGAAGAAGAGTCCGTTATAAAGCCAAAGGCGTGTTTTTGTTCATTTCTATAAAGTATAGAGAGGCATAAACCTTGAAACGAGACAACGCTTTACAAAATAAATTGTAAAGRAAAACCAAACCCTAACAGAAAATACAKGCAATACGATTGAAAGAGAGGTTTTTTAAAACGTTTTTTTCGAAGAAAATCTTACCTGGAACTACATGAAAGGCATWCAAATCGCCATAAARATAAACTCTTTTTCAGACCATAATGGCCGCCATTTTGTTCTTGCTCGATCAACTTTTGTAGCCTCGTTTACAAGTAGCACATTGTCTGAAGAGCGTCATCGACAACTTCCGGTTATCTTTATTTCCGTTTTATCGATARTTTTAAAGATAAAAACCCTCCATTTTCGAGTAGAAAAAATGTACGGAAGGAAATATTGAAAGCTTTGATGAAAAAGAAAGAGAAAAAAAAAGAAAGWCAKGGAAAAAAGARCAAAATATGTGCCGAAACCCGGGATTATTCAGAACTCCTACGAGTTCTCCGGWTTGAACCAGGGACCTTCAGATCTTCAGTCTGACGCTCTCCCAACTGAGCTATTTCGGCACAACTGAAATACAATGTTAAAAATTTGATACAGATTACAAAYAACATGTTGTTTCATCTAAAGAACAAAAGAATTCTTGTATAATAGAATATGATGATAGAGATATGCTAGATTGTCATAATTTATGAAATAAGAATGTAAGTACACCAAATATTTCAGAGCCATAAAAATGAAGAGCTTACTCGTGCCCCATGCTAAGGGTCATGGCCACAGACAAGATAGAAACGAGAGAGACCCTCGGCGAAGACTTGATGGACAACGGCTAGTTTTTATCTATGCTAACCTGCGTAAAAACGTTAATGCAGCGTTTAAAACAGTTACAATTTTAAATCAAAATTAGCACTGTATGCGTCCTATGTAGTCTTTCATTCACAAATCATGCAACATTTTGCGGGTCACATCCGGAACACGTGGACCTTTTGATGGAGGATTTAAAAGACCTGTTTCTATTTCATATCATGAGAATTTTCAATGCTTAGAAGTCTACGAAGAAAATGGCGTGGTAAGGACTTAACAGCTATTTGAGTGTAGAATACGAAGCTCTATGTCATAGCATTCGTTCCCTACYCGTTGCTTGCGTCGCCCACAAAAAGTTCCGGCCGGCCTGTGAGGTTTAACAATGCTTTTTCCATTGATCATATATAGATGACCAATGCTTTTTTGGGGGGGGAATTGTTAGGCCTTTTTTGAAAGTTTCTATCCTTGAGTCCGCTGCAAGTAGAGCACTGCTCATTGACAATTTGATTTTAAAATTTTTAAAATTTTTAAAATGACTTGTAGACAGCAGTCTTTATAGGGTGGTTCATCATAATGGGAAGGAAATATACGAAGGAAGCGTGTTTTAATTGTTTTGATTCTCTTGCGGAAGGAGTGCAATATAAAAACGCTATGAAAACGCGTCAGYGTTGACAAAATGAGTCCTTAAAACAGCTGTCTCATCGAGTCGCGAGGTGGTTGTTTCCGTTTTTGTGCAGCTTGACCAGGGGCGTGATTGTTAATCACCGGACTCCTCTTGATATGTGTACATTTTTTCCTTGGTGCTTCAAGTTTTTAAAACAWCAATTGTTGATGTGAAAACGCTCAGTCTTATCCATAAAATAATTGATGATACAATTCTTTGCCTAAAATAAAAATAATTTATCATGTCCCCAATAGAGCCTTAACCAATATTTTTTCATATCATACTCAGTTTCAATCCTGCATATTTGTTAATACCATCATGCGTCAACCATGGAATTGTTAATATCGAACCCTATGCTCTATGAATAGTATGGGTTACATGATTGAGCAACTACATATTGAATATCAGCGATAATACCTCTTTTAGAGTATGATAAACCAGGCTAACAAAAAACTTAAGTACCCCCACTCTTTTATTTCTTATTGCTTGAATAACCTTAAGAACTCTACGCTCCATTGATAAAACGACCATGAGAATCTTTTYTCACTCGCACATGTAGAGGCGGATATCAGCAGGCACTGTTAGCAAGCACGAGGGAACGACGAAATATCCTTTTCCTTCATGCAGTGAACATCATTGTCCTCTTGTGTTTCTCTGCAAAAAAACCTGGTCCATTGTCAGTTCTCACAAGCTTTAATCTTTTCACCTGTGAAGCATTATTCCTAAGGATCAGTAGACGTCAACGTTTGTTGAGTGGGGAACTAGTTTGAGAGCTTTCACTTAGACTTTGGAATACGTAGTCTCGCCWCTGCCTAAACGTCACTTCACTTGTTGTCAATGCGTCAGAGAACGTTGCATAGTCTTACTAGTATAGTTCAGGGAGTGAATTGCATTCCAAATTAACTTTGATAAGGTAAGAATGAAAACAAAAAAGCTATTGTATGGCCTTAATAATCTTATATTCGATGAAGTTTGATCTATAGCTGTCGTAATTATAGTGCACWTGACTTTAACTACTTTATTGATTAATTCAAAAACATTAAGACCTTGAGAACTAACAGTTTATAACTATATTACCTTGAAGTTATTGAATAATTAAAGTTGCTATTATGTGGTGATTAGATCATGTGTGATCAATCGCGCAATTAGCGCCAAAGTAGCTGTTAGTGTAGGTCTTATAGATGGATCGGTATCAAATCAAAACTTCATCGGTAATCAGTAYTTCTTTTGGTAAAGAAAGTCAGCAGCAACAAAGTATAATTACAATATAATCCATGATCTTGTTTTCAAAGATAAGGCGAATATCAGGTGCGCACGGGYGAATATCTGAACATCACGTGAKCCCTATAGTATTACGACTACAGTGCAAATGATAAACGGGCTTAAACAAGAGGTTATTCTTGTGATAAGAAATGATAATCATCTCATSTGAAAATGATCATGAGGAATGAAGCATATGATTATGATTTGATTTCTCTTATTTGCTCATTTCAACAGGCAGTTACCAAGTGAGCAATGATTCTAGAAGGCATTGCCATTTTGATAGTGGCTTTAACAGCCCTTGTGCTATCCACCATAGCAAAGCACCGTTCAGAAGATAAACGCCTGCCACCAGGACCCGTCCCCCTCCCACTGGTAGGRAATTTGTTCAACATGGGTCCTCAGCCACACCTAGGTCTCACGACACTCGCAAAGACATACGGAGAAATATTCCGTCTCACAGTCGGCATTCATCGGATTGTTGTCGTAAGTAGCATCGATGCCGCTCGGGAAGCACTCGTGAAACGATCGAATGACTTCGCAGGTCGTCCGTTGCTGTATACTGGCAGTGTCATAACACGAAAAGGTAGCAGCATATCCTTTGGTGATTTTAACGCAACGTGGAAAAGACAGCGTAAAATCGCTCATTCCGCTCTCAAGATGTTTGGTAGTGGAATTCAAACACTCGAGCACAAGGTTTCGTCTGAGATCCACGAGTTACTCAATAGAATTAATGCTAAAACAGACACGTTGTTCGATCCAACCCATGATGTTCAACTTGCAGTTGTCAACATCGTTTGTTCGATTGTGTTTGGCTCGCATTATGACATCAATGATCCTGAGTTTCATCGAGTTGTGCAATACACAGATCAGTTTGCGAGGGGTTTTCGTGCTGGAAATCTTGTTGATTACTTTCCCTGGATGCGGTTTTTTCCCAATAAAGGTAACAACAACAATGACAAGACTTTGATGGCAGTGATGTCCAAACGCCCAGAGATAGTATGGTGATGTTGGTGGTATGGTCCATAATAGTGGAAACATTAATTGAGTTGGTGTTGGTGACTATAGTGATGTCCAAAGTGGTAGAAGTGTTGGTTGTTTKGTAATTGTATAAGTATTTCAGGGCAGTAATTRCTGCACTGGTATTAATAGTAGGTAGTTTCACTAGTTTTTTTGGTGTGGTATACAATGAATTTTTAATGATTTCACGTAGTTAATATAATGTTTATACGCTCGATTTCAGGTATGGAACTCGTCAAACAAGCTGTACAAGAAAGAGACGCCATCTTGGAACGTAAATACCATGAACACTGTGAAACATATCAGGATCACGTAACAAGGGACCTGACCGACGCCCTCATCAAGGCAACAAAAGCCGAACATGAAGATGATACTAATTCAGCCTCACCACTCCCTCTGACGGAGGATAATGTAATTGGTACTATGAGTGACATCTTTAGCGCTGGTATTGAGACCATGTCTACAACTGTCCTTTGGGCCATTATTTATATGGTACGAAATCCAAAGGTGCAAAAGAAGATACAGGAAGAGCTGGATAACGTGATTGGGCGAGAGCGCATGCCCGGACTGAAGGATCGCGAAAATCTACCGTACACTGAGGCAGCGTTAGCGGAGGTACTTCGCTATAGTTCCCCTGTACCTCTTCTCTTCCCACATTCAACAACTGTGGATACTTATCTTAAAGGATACTTTATACCCAAGGGCACTGTGGTGCTTGTCAACGCGTGGGCSATCCACAATGACCCCACAAAATGGTCCCATCCGGAACAGTTTGATCCGAAAAGATTCCTTGACGAAGACGGTAAGCTTATCCCACCAGCAACGTTAAGTTATRTGCCCTTTTCGGCAGGTAGACGTGTGTGTTTGGCTGAAACACTCGCAAAGATTCAACTTTTCTGTTTTGTATCTCGGCTACTTYACAAMTTTACGTTCAAAGTTCCTGAAAATTCACCACTTCCTGAAAAAGATGGAATCTTTGGTGCTAGCCTTGTGCCAAAACCATTTAAGATAGTGGCTGAAATGAGAAATTAAAGTGAGTTTTTCTCCTCTCTTAGTTTTACATGTATGTAGTTAATGCAGTTTAATAAACTTTAATTAATTATATGAGGAATATTTATTTTTTTTTAATCATATTCTGTCTATCTGCAATTGTCTTTTCTTTCGTCTGCTTCCTSAAGTCCTTATCTTGCTTTTTGTTGTGCAGTTCAAGTGTTGTGTTGTTGGATTCAGACGCAATTCTTAGACGCCTGTCAGCGGTCATCTTGTTTTGGCAGAAAATGCGAAATGCTTTTGCCCGCGACATCTATATATATCACATATTATATCACATTGATTTGTTGTGATTTGCTTCTGTCAGATATAGCTTGGGTATATTGCCATCCCTTTTGTAAGTGCCCCCATCCCCTGGGGACCTCACGTAAAGCAGGTTAACCGATTTTGATTAGGAAATTGTGGCGTAATCAGTCAGTCAAGCCTGCCGGTCATCACTGAATATCCGCTTTAAAAAAAGCTGAACTGACGGTTTCAAAAGATCATGCATTTTAATGATTAATATCTCATATAAATGAGTCTTATTGGTTAGGGTTAAGATAAAATATTTGAAGAAAAGTCTGCGCACTTAATTGTACTTGTTAAAAGTGACTTTACTGTCAAAAATGTAATGCATCGTACCAGTCGTGAAACGGCGCACATTTATCGTCGAAAATAACGAAAAAAGACTTCCAATCATTTTAACTTTGTTTCACAAAATCTACTCGGATGTAAGGAGCCATTAACGTGCTCTAAAATCCGACTGATGGTCAAATTAACATGACGAAGTCTCCTTGTAATGCTTCCAATCGTCTTAAGTTATTTCATCACTTGCTTATGGCAATAGTAGCTTGCGTGCTATGTTTAATGAAGTGTCCAAGAGCTATTACATGAAATGCCTTGAAAAACAAAGTAGCCTGCTGCTAGAAAGTCTATCAGTACTTTGACTGACGTAGSTGGAAAATATCGAACGTCACGGAGTGTATATATGGGGAATTCTCGTCTATTCGACAGCGACCACCTGCGCGCTTATCAAATTTCACTAGAATWGTACGATGTCTACCGTTGTCTAGCTATATGTAGAAATTATTCTAGGACCTTCAAACTGACAAAAAAGCCTTTAGAAAACTCTTTTGTATTCTTGGCGATTCTTTTTATCCCCCGAGTCTCGCMTTAAAGTGTTGAAATCATAGGATTTTTTAAGCGCTTAGTCGTGTCTTTTTTTTTTTCGCGCCAAAACTTACTCACTGATAACAGCTATTACCAAAAGCCTCAAAATATGTTTTTTTAATAAAAGGTACTTAAAAGCATCGAAAAATGAATTTAATATTATAAAGATAGCCTTGAAATAATGAATATTTAATTATGTTTTTATTTGGCGTTTTCTTGTGCAAATGATTCTCAAGCATGTGTTGTTCATTCTGAGATGTGTGTTGAAGTGCATGTAATGGCGTAGGGGTGTTTAAAAAAGAAACCTCAAATTATTAGGATCACTGGAAAAAACTCTTTTTATTTGAGCTTCAATGATTAATTATMTTTGACTAAAACAATGGAAATTTGAAAATATTTTAAGACGAGCGCTTTTGAAGCTTATCGAACCCTTGAACTAAAATGCGTCGGCCTTTTTGTGCAAAAAAACTAATTTCCTGAACTCTTGTGTTGTCGCTTGTACTTGAATCAGGTCGAATTTAAAGTTGACTAGTGAATTAAATGGTGATGATATTTAGAAATAATAACAAGCAAGCAATTTATAAGGGTGTTTTTRACAGTCTGGAAAGTGATATCACACCCCCCTACCCTACTCCCCTAGGTTTCATTTTGTAAGCTGCTAACGCTGTTTTAACTTCCTTATGTTTCTAAGTGATCGCAACGCAAAGCCTTATTCAAATGGCACGTCTGCTATTGTTCCGAGCATAATTAACTATGTTCCGAGAAAAAAGCCTTCAAACTCTCAAAAAAAAGACTTTTATAAACTATCAATTACTATTACTAAATAATCTTCGTATTCAATGATTTTTTTCATCGGAGAAAACTCTCCGTTTTTGTATTTTTGTTTTGTTTTTCAGAAAGAAACGGTACAAAAAAGACGCCAAAAATATAGAATATGCAAATTCATTACTGTTGAATATTAAAACGCTCGTTTCCACCGTCATCGTTGTCAAATTAGTGTTTTATTACAGACTATAAGCTGCTGTTAGTGTTTACTGTACGTATAGAGCTTGCCAAAAGGCACTTATGATGAAGTTCACGTAGTATTCCTTAATTGGTGGCGGGGAAGCTACTAACTGACGAGTTTCTTTATAGAAAAGCCAAAGAAGCGGATTACTGTCGCTTGCTGTCAATTTGTAGGTGTTTGCCTGTGAGCTGACTGTGCATTTATGGGGCTCTTCTGGTTGTAGCACAAAACCGCTTCCAAGAGGACACAGAAAATAGGTGTTATGTAAACGCAATGAAATATTGATGTGAAGATATCGTATATTTTTTCGCTTTTTTCAAAATCATTTCAATTCAGAAATTTTTCTAAGTTTCAATCAAGAAGATCGATCTTTGCTGCGGGTAAAGTGGAAGTAATTTTTGGAAATTACACCGGGAGAACGCGAGGTGATTGAGTTTTGAGGTGATACCCGACAGGCCATAAATATTATGATGACCACGTCTACCATTCAGCTGCAACACACCACCACTCCAAGCCACAGATCATCGCTGACTTTATACACACAAGAAAAAAACGYCAACACTCTTTTGCCTTGCTTGGCAGAGAGAAAAATTGGCGGGAAAGTTGCTATTGTGCCCAGCAAAATGACAAATGGTGTTAACAGAAGAATCAGTGAACCAATTGACAATAAAGAGACACAAAAGACGACTAACCAAAAGCGTGGAGGCAAAATTTACGTAAGTTGCCTTGAAACGTCGCTAAGTACAACCTGGAAACGAAGCTTGAGCCAAGAGAGTGACAAAAAGGACATCAACAACGACAGTTTTCAAAACATGTCTTCTCAAAATCCAAAAGCGAAGAAGAGAAATGAAAGAAATAGACCACAGAACCGAATAAGTAATGGCAACAATATTGGTACGAGTGATAATCTTGATTTGAATCCTCGAGGCGGCAAAGAGAAAGGTAAAAGAAAAGCAGGGAAGCGCTTGGAGCGTCAAGATTCAAACGTATCTATTCAGCTCCCAAAAGGAAAACAATTGAGCTTTTCAAGTGAAGGGAARTCCTCSATTTCATCGCATAGCGAAACGAACCTATCCTCTTCAAAACTCCRCAATTCAAACGTCTACGTTAAAAGCAAGTTAAACTCTCAACACACGAATACAGTTTTGGTCCAAAAGTCTCCATTATGCCGTAGTATTACGATTTCTGAAGCGTCTCTGAGTAGCGCGTTAAATCGGCAGGCGAACATAAATCTCTATAACAAACCAATCTCCTCAAGGACGCGGACTTCGTCTCGATGTGTATCAGGAATCAATGTTCAGAACAGAAACAAGAGGTCCTTTACTATTTCTAATGATACGACTGATGGACGATTGCGAACAATCTATGAATCCACCTTGGAAGAATACGAATGACTTTTATTAGTACGCGGTACGAATACAGAGGTTCTATATCGAGCGTGTGGATTTGTACAGCACATCATTACAATAACAGCCAAGAATTACCGCATAAGTTATTTMARACAACTCGGTGTTTTTAGTGAGCTTTCCTTGAGAAAATATSCAGAAAAACGACTTTAGCGAATCCATTTTCACGGATGTTTTCAGTATTGCTAAAAATATCTCCGGAGATGTATTTTAAAAATAAGTTTTCATTTTCGTTTTCTCTTAATAATACACACTATATTTCTTAAATGAGATCTCGCCAAAAAGTTATTGTCGTGTAATGCGTGTTTGACTAAATTAGAATTAAGAAACGCAAAATGAGTCTTCTAGGAGATTAACATGGGAAAATATTAAGCAATGATGATATATTTTCTTTTTTATTATAACCCACGGCAGACCCAGCGGCAAAATGTCACAAAAAATGCCTGTCAAATGATGACGGGTACGTACACAGCTGTACTGTGTATTTACCAACTGGAAAAAGAAAGACAAGGGATTTTCTGTACATTTGCTTTGAAAAAAAAAATAACGTTATCAGCTTTCATTTGCGTCAACGGAAAAGTTCGATATTACTGCTGCGTTTCCCCAAAATAAAGTTTTAATAAAGCGAGATTCGTTTCACAGGAATATTAATTGAWTATTTTACGAGAAAATCGTCGATACAGCAGAGAACTGTTCTTTATATAATAGGATGGATTTAGCATTGAAATTCCCGCTCAAATAGGATTACAGTTGACGTGCGTTAGATAGTRTGCGGTATTGAAACATTTCCCGAGCGAAAATTGAAAATCAATTCACATTTGAGTGTAATATAATATTAAAGCTTGCACAAAAAAACCATCTGCCGGGGTATTTCTCGTCAGTTTTAGATGGATTTCAGTTCYAAGGAAATGATTTAAGGAGAAAACTTTGAGTTTTCTATCTCCGTATGGAATAATCTTGATTGTTATTTTTCAATGTGTTTCTGTTTGATAACTTCTGCATGGAAATTAAGTCTGGACCAAATGTTTTATTCATATTCCACTTCACTTTATTCTCTAGCAAAGATGCATTTGTCTTATGAAAAATTATTTATCATCAATGTTGGTATATTTTTCGCAATATTTGATAATTAATTGTATATGTAAGAAAATGAATCTTCTTGATTAACACTTTCAAGTATTAAAAACTGTTGGTTTATTTTTCTCAATTTATTGTTGTTATTTTTAGTAATTGATAAGTACAAATGGAAATTAGACAGAGGAGGAAAGGATAAATTCTATCATGAGAACGACCGCATGTTGTCAGAATAATAAACTTAACATATTCAAAAATGGATGAACATTCACGACGTGAATTATATCTCCATACATACAATATTGTAAAATATTATAAAAAATATTATATTGTAAATCATATAAATAACAATATTGTAAAATATATTGTCATGTTTCTAAACTTTAAATATTCCTGTGCATTTTTKAATAATCATCATTATTTGACCAAACACACAGCAAATTGAAAAATTGTCACTATTTTCAAAAGCTATATAGAATTGAAATAATCAATTGGAAAAGGAATATATATTACATATTTTTAGCGTTAAACTTTACGGAATAAATAGGCTTTAAAATGAGCAAAATCAGGCAAAAACGGTTTGTCTTTTAGAAAGCAACATTATAATCTCCCATGAGTCTGTTTGATCGTAGCCTTCATGGCCGACTTTGACAACTTTTCTTCAATTTGATGTCAAACATTTTTGCTCTGTGACATGTGTTTCTTATCATTTTTAACTCGAAGATTGCGAAGCAATCGAAGAGTTATTGGAGGGGGACGAATCTGTCACTCACTCACTCACTCACTCACTCACTCACTCACTTTCCTGTAAACTTGAGCCTGCGTTACTTGTGTTCAAAACTATTTTTTTATTCTCATTGTTCTCTACTAATTTTCTCATTAAGTTATCGTTACCGGGTTCCCTGTTCTATATTTGATTGAATTTATTTTTTGGCAAAGAAAGAAAATAAAGAAATGTCAGCTCCTCTGAGTCTTGAACTTCAGACTTCTGAGTTAAGCCCCGTCTAGACGAGCAATTTTTATGTGACAATTTTTAATTGC